GGCGGCGGGAGCGGCGGAGCATGGCGCTCAAGCGGAGCTCGTCGGCCCCGCCGGTCCGGATTTATCCTCCGCGGCTTTCCCTCTTGCTGCTGGTGCTGGTGCCCGTGATGCTTTCGGCGGCGGCGTCCGCTTCTTCCCGGGCCGCCTACCCTCGCTTCTCGCCCTTCTTCTTCCTTTGCACCCACCACGGGGAGTTGGAAGGGGACGGCCAGCAAGGCGAGGTGCTCATCTCTCTCCACCTGGCAGGGAACCCCACTTTCTACGTGCCGGGACAGGAATATCACGGTAAGGTTAACCTCCCCCCCGCCGTTTTATAAGGGGGTGCGAAGGTCTCGTCGCTCCGGGACCCATCATCCCCGATCAGTGCGGTGGGGGGGGGGGGGGGGGTGGAGGAGGAGACCACCAGATTGGGGAAAGGTTATTATTTTTGTGGGGCGCGACTCCGAAGAGATCCCCCCTCCCTTGGCCATCCTGATGTCCGCCAGCCGGTCCCGATGGACTCCGAGTCCCATCATCCCCGATCAGTGCGATGGGGGTGAATGGAGGAGACCACCAGATTAGGGAAAGGTCCTTTTTATGGGACTCGGGTTTGGCCCGTCGTCGACTCCAATGAGACCTCCGGGCCAACGCCAGCCGCTCCCGACAGACTCCGAGTCCCATCGTCAGCGATCAGTGCAGTTTGGGAAGGGGCGGGGGGGGGAGTAATAGGAGATCACCAGATGGGGAAAGGGTCTTTTCGTGGGAAGGGTGGATGCGTGTTTGGGCCCTCGTCGACTCCGAGGAGACTCTGGGGCCAACTTGATGTCCGCAAGCCGGTCCCGATGGACTCCGGCTCCCATCATCCCCGATCAGTGCGATGGGGGTGGGTGGAGGAGATCACCAGATTGGGGAAAGATCCTTTTTGTGGGACTCGAGTTTGGCCCGACTCCAATGAGACCTCCGAGCCAACCTGATGTCCGCCAGCCGGTCCCGATGGACTCCGAGTCCCATCCCCCCCCCGCATCAGTCCCAATTTGGGGGGCAGGAGAAGAATCACCAGATGGAGAAAGGGTCTTTTTTTCTGTTTGGGATTTGGCGCGCGTGGCGATGGCTTTGATGGGGCGGGTGAGGGGGGGTGGGGAGCTTTGCCGTCTGTTTTTTGTAGTCCCGGGAAGATCGGGAGGCGAAATTGGGAAAGTTTAGGGTGGCGTTTCGTATGGTCTATGGAGATTCTCGGTCATCCAGGGCATGGTGGTCCCAAACGTTGCTTTTTTTCTTCCCTTCCCTCCTCACTTGTCTTTCCCCTTTTTCCTCCCCAATGGGTCTTACTATTTGCTCTTGTATTTTATTCTATAATCTAATAAAATGTTCAAATCCCAAAGGGTGCCTTTTCCCGAAGGCAACCGGACTTTTGAACTCTCCCATTTGTGCGGTTCGACGGCTAAATTACTGCGGAATTAACAGCCGAGGCTATTAGTTAACAAGAGAAGAGAAGAGAAGAGAAGAGAAGAGAAGGAAGGGATGGGAAGAAGAGAAGAGAAGAGAAGAGAAGAGAAGAGAAGAGAAGAGAAGAG